TTTTCTATTAGAATAAAAGAAATTTAATATACATACATTGAAATAAAAAAAGTAGCATAGTCGATAGGTTGAAAAGTAACTTTAAATTTAAGTAAAAATTAATAATTTTTTTTTTGAATATGTGTATGTGTTCAATAAAATCTCGACCCATTCAGTATAAAACTATTATTTCAGTTGATATAACTTATCATGTATTTTTGAAAGCAAACCAAATTAGAGATTTTTTTTTCAGACGTTGTGTTTAGTGGAAATTTTTTTATTGACGATGTTGATAGTAAAGTCATTAGGTAGAACAAGATGGATATAAATCCATACCAGAAAATTTTGTTCGTTGCCTTCAAAAAAAATTGCACACCCTTCATAAAAAGTCTAGCTCCGCCACTGTTTATAGTAGCGCGAATTGGCGGAGTCTCGTGCTGATAACATGTTATGAAATAACTAGCTAATGAACTAATATTAATAAACGAAATTGAAAAGAAGAACAAGCAAAGAATTAAAGAGAGAGTAATCTATTACAATCTCTATATATCTTGATTTGTGAATGAAGTAATGACTAATTATAGCCATTAAGAAGTTATCCACTTGGCCAAGTGATGATACTTCTCAAATGGGTGGCCCCACATGACATCCATTTAACATGGCAAGTGATGACAATTAAATGGGTGGTCCCACATGGCATCTACTTTAGTTTTACAACATGTCCAAATTAGTGGCCTAATAAGTAATGAATTTGATTTTCAATATATAAATATAATATTTTGATTATTATAATAACATGTTATTAAAAGTGAAACAAAAACTATTGGTCCCAGATATTCCATGTTGCCAAAGAAAGTTGTGAAACAAATATAGAACCTTCTTGTGGACCAGAAGTGTGGAGCTATCTAAGAAGGCCCTTATATCATGGAAAAGACTTTAGCTTATCTATGAATGTTAGAGAACTAAATATGTTGAATGTAAGCTTGTGGAACAAAGCTGCTTTGGTGAAGCTGTTGTGGAATTTGAGTAATAAAGTTGTGAGTCCAATTAGAGGCGGAGCTAGGCGGGGTTCATGGGCTCGAACGAACCCATTAAGTTTTTCGTAGATACTATATTTATATTAGAAAATTTAATAAAAACATATGTATATTTACTTGTAAACCCCACTCCCGGACAAAATTAATTGAGAGTTCAGTGGTAAGGAAGGATGGTGAAATGCTTTTCAAGGTTCAAATCCAATATTTTTCTCTTCTATCCTAAAATTTAGAGCTCCAAACTCGCTCCGCCTCTGAGTCTAATGGGCTTATCAATACTACATGAGAAGGTCTACACCAAAGACATGTTGATCAAATGGGAGACTGATGTGAAACTTTTGTGCCCTATGTGCAAAGGGAGTGTTGAAACTCTCAAACTTTTGTTTCTACATTTAAAAGGTTAAATAAATTAAAATTTGCTCAATATAGAAATGCTGAATCTTCTAGGTTACATACTGTTTCAGAAAATACGTACCGCTATATATAGAGAGAGAGCTTGATAATCTAATTATAGTAATGGTTTATAAGAAGACGTAATAATATAAGAAAAGTGAGTAAATTTTATTTGCGCAATTTATTTTTGAAAAATTGTCTCAAAATGATTACCATTATTTTAAGAATTTATTATTGGGAAACATTGAAAAATTACAATAATAATATAGTAATTATTAATTAGCAAATAGTAGTACTTAAATTAGATATATATTACTATTATTTATTAAGTACTATAATATTTTAAACAGTATACAATTAATACTTGAGTCATGTTGCTTGTCCTAAAAATTTATTTCAACAATTTTTTTTTCAAAATTAAACAAATCTTCTCAAATTAATTAGAGGACATAAAATTCAACAAAATTAAATCATTCTAGCAAGTTTTAGAAGGATGATTAAAGAACAACAAAATGATAATTAAATAAGATAAAAAAAAAAGGCTAAAAAAAGGAAAATGAAACGTGAGGGAGAGTAGGAAATGTGAGATTGTAGCTATTTTGTTTGGTCTGTTTTCGCTGGAGATTTTGAGGGATTATTTATAGTTGAAGGAGTGGGTTTTACACTTTGACCTCCAACAATAATATCAATTGCCATTACTAGCTAAACATATAGATGACAAGTAGGGGTGTACAAAATCGAATTGAAAATCAAATCAAACCGCAAATTGAGTCAAACTGAGAAAAAAAACCCGACTAGTGGTTGGTTTGACTTGGTTTGGT